AATTCTGCCTTGGAACATATTTGTAATGCAAATACGCGGATGTTGATCACCACTTACTGTGAGACAGGAATTGGTCCTAAGGAAATATTGTTTTGACCTGAAGCTGATTTCTTGCACTGTGTATCGCAGTCAACCGCTTTCCACTTCCATCATCTGGCGTATGATACAGCCGCTGGAACCACACTGGGTTTCAATCCTGTCTTTTTGAGCGATATGTGTTCTTTACATGAGTGTGTCAGAGTCGCTAATTAGAAACCATTCACTTGGTGAAATCCAGAGGAAGGATATTTGAGAAAATTAGGATGAGACGCAACGGACTAGAAGTGGACAAAGCGAAATTTAATGAATATGCACAGGAAGAAAGGAATGAAAAGGCATAAAAGGTTGGGAATTGAACCACGATGCGTAATGTTAATTTGTCGTGATGTATGTTGCATAAACGTGTTATGCTTATGAGTAAAGAACAGGAACACTTGGAGATGCTAGGTGGGGTTTCTGGTCCGTTTGATGCAACGGGGAAATCGTGCTGGGCCGCGCGAGGGTATTGATGCTATCGGGGTTCCTAGTTGAAGGTAGCACAGGCTAATAGCCTGAGAGAAGGCCAGTAGCAACGTGGGCAACCAAACACGACCCAGAAAGAAAGCCGTGGAAACAAGTAATTGGAAAGTAAACAGCAGAAGCTATAGGGCTTGTGCGCTGCTTCGCGCGTTGAAGCTAAGTCGCTCTGGTAGACCAGCAGAAGGGCGTTGATGCAAGTGTGGCTGCGCAGTCAGTATTAGACAGAGGATAGTTTAAAGAAGGTTATCGGAGGCATTGCTATAGTTAAGCATAAACAAGAGTCAATAGGAACATGGATGGGGCGCGGCGTCGTACGGATTTCTTATGTTTCTCAAGAGTTCAGAATGAGTCAGCAGAGGCAAGTTAGGTGATGGGAAGTCGGTGTCACATGAGGATCAAATCTACAGTAATGATCAGTTTCAGTGGACGCCGTTAAAGGTTAAATTAATCAAAGGTAGACGAGTAAACTGAGGGACTATACTCGGCCAAGCAAAGAAGCTCCGGATACAGGTATATGGAAAGCGAATGGCGGAAGCTAGACAGCTAGTTTCCTGCGTAGAAGTGCTAGGAAGCCGGTAGCAGGCGGAGCAGATATTTATAGCCAAGAAAATAAGCCGTGGTAGCAACTACAGCGAAAGTGAACGACAGAAGCTGCGTTGCTACTGCACTGCGTCGTGCGTTGTATATGTCGTTCTGGTGGACCAGATGAAGAGATTTAAAGCAAATTTAAGGTGACAGCCGCTTCATTACATTTAGGTGTCCAAGGTTTGGCTGTATAAAGGTGTGAAGCACAGTATCTGTGTTGATAGGGCTCTGTATCGCGCGAGGTCATTAATACCAAGACGGTTGCGAAATGTGGGCAGCAAGTGTGAGCTAACCACTGACAAGCTAGTAGCATGCTGAGCGGAAATTTATGATTCAAAACAAAAGCGTTGAGGTAGGTAAAGACAAGGTAATGTGTCTGAAAGCTAGAAGCAAGTTACGCGACTAATTACGGCCAAGTAAATAAGCCATGGAAATAAGTAAATCGAAAGTGAACTTCAGGAGCTTCATAACTACCATGCTGCGATGCTCGCTGCACCCGTCGTGTTAAAGTACCAGAGGCACTGTGATAAGGTCTGATTGAGTCACAGAGCTGTTAGGAAGCTAGACCCGTCCTTACAGCGGTGTGTGACGCAGCGCCTTAGACTATGTTGTGTTCATATTTACTTTCCAAACAAACCAGCAATGCTTTGACACCTAGCTGTAAATGGCACCCAACTCCACCACTGGCTGTTCATCAATCAACAAGATTTAGAATGCCTCACCTAACAAGTTAAGTTGACTGAAATACCACGCGCGACGCAGTCCCCTGGCTTCTACGGTACTCATATTTACATTTAGCTAAATGGCTGCAATCCACTAGATACGGCGCTAAGTGGCAATCAACTACATCACTAGCTTCCCACTACCACCTACTTTAGCTCTATATCCCCGAAATAATAGACCGCTGACCTACGAGACGCGACGTAGCGCATAAGACTTGCATGTGCCTACGTCAACTTCATATTACTTGGTGCAGAAATTTCGAATAATTGGGTTAAACGAGCGACTAAATTCCTAAACAGCTGTCCAATAATATACCTTTTATAACTTTCTTCCCATAATAAGCTAGGACGAATAATTACGCGCACTCGACGCGGCACTTTTGCATCCAGTGCAACCATATTTATTATTTGTGCAAAGTTGTAATAACGTAGGCAGCTAGCTACGAATGGGCAGTCAACATCACCACTGGATTTTTACGACTAACTGCTCAGCTCTCTCTTGGCAGATAGGATGGCTGATCCACTGAGCACGAGATGAACCATAGGCTTGAATAGATTATGTTTGTTTACATTTAAATCGTTGCATCAGCTCAAATGTCCTTTTATATGTTGGAGCATAATCCCCCAAATGGCTTCCCACTACCCAGTGCCTTCTACCTTCCTCCTCTTGGAAAGCGTGGATGGCATTCTAAACACAAGCGACGCAGCGCCCTGGCCCCGTGGTAAGCTGGGTTACTAACCTTTGAATATGAACAACATAGTTAGCAAACAATCCTTGCAAAGTAGCATTATTTCGTGCTGCCTGCTCAAGTGCAAAAAGAGGCACATTTAGGTCACGTAAGGAAAGCAAGCAATGGTTTTGAATTTGTCAGAAAAAATGAACGCGGACACAACACAGTAGCTGGTAGCGCTGAGGGAATGGTTAGGAACCCCAAGGAAACCTAAGGAATATTGTCAGGTGCATTTGCACACAAGGGGTAAGGCGAAAAAGCAGCTTTGGCCGTAAGTTCCGACCCTCCTACTCTTTGTGCACAAAAGCAAATGACAGTACTCCTTAACCATCCTTGGGTTCAGGACCATTGCCCTGCGCTACTAATTATTGCGTTGCGGCTGCGTGCATTTTTTGACCAACGTAAAGACATCCTTTTCTTTCCTTCTCTGCATATGTTGGTAAAATGCAAGTACTCAGATAACACAAAATCTCGCCACCTTGCCTTGCTGGTCCTCTAGTTGCTTTGTTCCGACTGCTACAGGAAAACCAATGCTCTAAAGCATTGCATCGTTGCATTGCAATTGGCACGTAGATGTTAGTAGAACCCAGCTCCATCATTGGCCTACCAACACGCAAACTGGTTTACATTTCTCTTACCTGCAAACTAAAAACACTGAGTTACCGGGCGCGAAGCAGCGGTTATGGCTAATATATACCCACTTCAACTTCCTATAACTCGTCATAACATGTTCAACAATTTGTCCAAATGTAGCGCTCAAATTTACTACAGCTTTCCCGATACTACAGCATAAAACTCACTTCCCACAGCCAACTAGGACGATTGACTTTGTTTGCGTGACGCAGCGTTTTAGTCTCTGATGTATGTATGTTTACTTACCTTTGATACTTGCAAGTGTCGTCGGCAGATTGCTATTAATGGGAACACAACCTGACCACTGGCCCTCCACTGCTACCTGCAATAGCTGTTATCTCTTAGCAAGCTAGGACGTACTTGTGACGCCCACCTGACTACGGAAGTAACAGACTCCATTGCAATCGTCCACACCTCGCAATTCTGATATACCAAAGGAATTCTGGAAGCAAAGCTACTAAATAAAAGACACCTGATTCGTCCGACTTCACCAGCCCCGATTAGTCGCGGTCGAATCCGAAGAAGGCAATCACGCAGCCCCTAGTAACAAATTGGTGAAACATGATTGCGAATAACCTCGAGAATAATCAACCAAGAGACAGCAATTTCAATGTTGTATCGCCTGGCAAGCGTTCCCTCTGCCAACTACCACAAAGGTCGGTTTCTCAACACTGCGACGTGACCGGTGTGTTTTTCCACAACATAATGTCATTGCCCCGTACCACGCACTGGCAGATTGATTGATGCCACATTTTACAACTCTCGTGCATATATCCGGTCACATATTACTACACGTACATGTTTGACAGGTGACATGCCACTAATCCTAAGGCACTTTACAGATTGGTCCTCATGCTTCAGTCACCCGATCCGCAATTTGTACACAACCTCCAAGGACCAACTCCACACCAGCATATTCCACGCCCATGAGCTTGGTGATACTTATCACTACTTGTCTTTCTCCGCAAACCACTTCTCCTGTACAGTTCTGATTATGTTAGGATACGCTAGAGGGTAAATTTCATTTAATATTTGGGCTATATGGGGCCACACGGCTGAATACATTGCAGCACTTCTGCTCTTAGACCTGCACATTACGCTATCATGTACAACAATACACCATTCTGCTCACACCCAAAACGAGTGCTTTGCTTTGTTGAGAATAAATATTTATTCATTCACTTGAATTAACATGCCCAACGCAAAGCAACCGAGCTGATTATGCTTCTGTCTGCTTATCATTGAATAGCTGTAGCGCCTCAGACAACATGATTTAAATTAACGCCTGACACCCCAAGTGGCTTTCTACTAATTAAGGTTTACTTTCTTACTCCTTCTAGCTAACTAGGACGACATCCAATGTGCGTCGCAGCGCCCTGGACTCTAAAAGTATTATGTGTACCTATCATTGAATTGTGGCTATGCCCTAAGCAGTTAGCAATGAATGGGTACACACAACTGACTGTTCGCAACAACCAGCGTTAGCTCTCTTCAGCTATCAAGCTATATCAACTGGTCTGCAAGGCACGATGCCAGGCATCAGCCAAGAATGTATTTACGTTTACGTAGGTTTATGACATAGTAATGCTTTTGACATGAAGCTGTGAGTGGCACCCAAGTGTAACCATGACATTTCCACACTCAACTGGTTTGTGTCTCCTCTGCTAGTATATTAGATGCCTGACAAACGAATTGCGAAAATTGCATAAGGCTAACATGCCTACCTCAAAACCATATAACTCGTCAAAACACGTGCAACATTCTTACTTACTGGAGCTTCCAATTTCGCCCCAGGTTTTCCCATACCAGAATTTATACCTCACCTCCCACAGCAAGCTAGGATGATGTGCTTCGTCTGCGAAAGAAAGCTCCTAAGTCACTCATACGTACCACTGGACTTTAAGTAATACCCGGCTTGCGCTGTTTCTATTAACAAGCCAGGTGGTTTGTCCGAACGACGCAGTGTCGGAGTCTAGAATATATTCTTGTTTGTTTATAATGAATTGTTGCAGCGGTTGGAAAAACGCTGTAAATTGCCACTTAGTTCCTTAATCGGCTTTATACTACTTGCTGGTTCCCAACGTGAATTTGCTAGAAAGCTGGGAACATATTATAAACCCGCGGAACGCTTTGCACCCGCAACGTATGCACGCAGTCTAATTGCGTATAAAACGTTGAAGTGCCCTAAGCAGATCGCTATATATTGGCAAACCTTCATGACTTGCTTCCTACTACTCGAGCTGACGTACTAACACGCTAGGTAGACAGGCTCATCAAGAGCGTTGCAGCGCCTCACACTCGGAGGTACACCGGCTTACGTTGTTTCAAAATCCTGCAACGTTGATGCCACCTGGCAGTAAATGACACCCAGCGTCACTATTTCCTGTGCACCAATCAACTTGATTTAAACATCCTCGTCTAGCAAGCTAGGGTTGCTGCCAACATGCGCTACTCATCCACTTAGCCTTGACTGTGCGCAAGTTTACTTTCCATGGCAAACTAGCAATACTTTTGGCACCTATCTGTGAATGGCACACGAATTCACTACTGGTTGTCCACGAATCAACATGCTTTAGCTCTCTTCTCCTTGCGATCTAAGATGCTTGACAAAACAAGTGAAAATCATCGCCCTGGAATCAAATATGTTGAATGTTTGCTTACATTCGGACCTTTGCAGCGGCGCAGGCAACTGTCAATTAACGCAAAGCAATCTGCTGGTTTCCACTAGCAAATCTTTTCTTTAGTGCATTGCCCAAGAAACATGGAAGACATCCTAAACACGCGCGACGCGCTCTTCAACTTCTGGTGTTATTTTATTGGGCTTAGCACCATTACAATACTTTTGTAGCCTAGCAGTAAAAGGCACTCAACCTCACCCTTTTCTAACCAATAAACCTACGTTTGCTGTTTTAACACAGCAACCCAGGACAAGGGACTTAACCCGTTAGGCAGATTTACTAAAGTCTAATACCAAAAAACTTGCAATTCGTCTGACTGTTAGCTGTACCTGCATCCAACTTCGGCATTGTCATACTACTGCGTACGCTTTCACGTTTTTATTCCCTAAAGGCTAAGACGACTGACTTACCTCGCGCAGCGTAGCACATTGACATTTGCATGCACTCATATTTGATAGAATTGTGATTAGAGCCTGCCTCTTAGCCTTTAGCAGACACATCAGGTTCCACCACAGTTACCTGTGAACTAGGTTTACGGCTACCTGCATATCCAGTGCCCTTTATGATTCTTTGTTCCTGCAACGTTTGCTTTTCCAGCTGTGCTTCTTCAAGGTTTGCGCTCACTTTACTTAACTTAACGCATGTCTTTAAATTAGTTCGCATTTGCTTGAGCGCTCATTTACACCACATGAAGCTATTGCTTCCTTACTGACTACACATAAGACTGACCAGTTAGTCGGCTGTTACAGTACTCGTCGACTACAGCCCTGAGCCAAATAGCTCAGCGTACGCATGGCTATCGCTTATTATCCCATGCGACATCTACCCCATGGACAGGAAACTATGGCGGTGTAACCTGCTGCGTTGTCGATAACGGGATTATGCACGAAAGTAAAGTTTCACAAACCAGTTTCTCCGTCCATTCTAGGCTTCCGGCTATCATATTCATTGCACGCTATTTTCATGTACTTCGTTACAGTTAAACTCCTTGGTGGGTTTTTCGGTTTTGCTCTTACTTATAGGTTCTAAAAGCTGCATTTCAGCTCCAAGGACTGGCCCGAGTAATGTATCTGGTCCGTACGTTCTGCGCCTAAAGGCATATTGGACAAAATTCGCGATAACGTAGAGAACATGCCCGGAAGCCTGAACTTAGAACGGAATAGGGAGACTGTTGACTGCGACTCACCGCTTCAGATTTCAGCTTTTCCGCAACCCAAATATGTATCCTGACCCTTTAGAACATGTGAAATCTACATGGCTAGGCCGTTCTACCCCTAGTAAAATGAAGTTCTGGAAGCAACATAACTGGCTTCTCAGCATTACTTTGAAGTACCGTTTTCTCAGCATAACTATTAGACGTAATACTTAGGCAAGGCTTGTTGGACGTATTATTGACTGCACTTCCCTTGAAATGCCTGCATCGCTTATGCGCTTTGTTTTGTCGAATTATTCTTTGACACTGTTGTTAAGCACTAGTGACCAAATGATTTACTGGGATGACTATTTTTGCCACTGATACTCTCTTCATCAACGCCAATAACTGTTGTTCGTTTCGCCTTCGACACCTCATTTAGCTACGGCCAGTAGTTCTGGGCTCTATGCCTCACCGCGCCCAGCTTAAGCTTGCTGGAATTCATTCTTTCTATCCCCACATTTAAGCCTGCTGGACGGTTTCCAGTACTTACATTTGCTGGTTTGTGAACTTATTCTGTGATACGGTTGGCCTCCACTAGCGACCAAAAGACCTATTCGGATAGCTATTCGTGCCAATGCTACCTTCTCTAATAGCATCATTACCTTTATCTGTCTCACCACCGACACATCTGTTTCCTTACGGCCAGTCTTCGTAGGCTCCCTGCATCTACGCACCCATCCAGAACCGGTTTGGAGCCCGTCCTTAGCTCCCCAACTTCCATTCCCTTGGAATATCTGCATCAACTACCTTCACTGGTTTGTTGGCTTATCCTGCAACACTATAGGTGTGCTTTTACATTTCTTGGTCCCACATGTATCTTCCATTCGTTTACCCCTAAAACCAATTCATTTCTTGGTTCCTAAATTGATCCATCACAAGCACTAGTGTACGCATTTCCTGATGTGCCGCCACGTCAGCGTCGAGATTTTCATGTCTTTAACCAGTCCTTTACATACACTTTCATGGCTACGATAAAATACCGCCATATGATCCTCGCCTCTCCACACAGAAATCTGCTTTACGTGTAGCATTATCGTACCTGTCCTAGAACAGTATTTCAGTGAAATTTTTCCAAATTAATTATGGTTGTACACGGCGTACATACTAGATAACACCATTACAGCTGTTTTAGATCCAACCTGGTATGATCAGTTTAAAATTCTTCTGTTGGGTATGGAAGCTCGCTTTAGTCAGTATTTTCTCCCCTTTCGCAGTTCAGAGGCCTACATAGAAAAGGGAATAAATTATTCTGATCAGCCTTCAAAATGTTCTACAACCGACCAGCTGGAATGATGGCTGCCACCACATAAGCGAATAAGATAGATTTTGCGCCTAAAACGCTGGCCTTTGGAAAATGTTTTTACTGTTCAGAATAACTGGATAAACAATGTCGTCATTCAAAACATTTCCAAAAGACTCCGGTTTCAAAATTCGATCGGCTTCAGTAAATAGTGGCAGACAGTGACTAAGCCGCTTTCAGCATCCGGGGGCCAATTAGAGCCGTACGCCAATTGCGGCTAGCCAATGGCATGATTGAGCTGTCAGTAGCATTGCTAGTTATACATTGTAGTGGGCTGTGTTCCAGTAGGTGGTGAGCAGTTTGTTTGGCAAGCGTTTCTTTCACAAAAGGACCACGTACGTACGCCTAACAACACTGTGATGCGGCAGTGACTCGCCACTGAATTAACTCACGGCCCAAAAACTGAAACTGGCAATTTAATCCTCATCATATACTTTTGAACATGTTTGTCATAGTGTACCTTGATGTACACGAGATCAAAGCGTTTAGTTATTTATTCTGACACACAGTGCAAGAGCATTGGATTTGTGTACGTATTGATCGGATCCCTCGCGGGCGCAGCACCTAGCAACAGTCTAGGAATAAACGTTCCTTATTTATTCATCATGTCTTTCTTGGCGGATACCGGTTAAACTCGGACGTATATTAGTAAATTTTTACTATATCAAGCTAAGTGGCATTAATTTGGGGCAATCACAACTGGCATGGTGGGTAGAGTTTTCAATCCTTGTCGAAGCCAGCCAATTAAACGTCCGTGATAGATTTTACTGAGAATAAATAGCGTTGAATTCGTCACCTGACCTTATAAATATTTGGTTAGGGAAGGCCTTTTTTATAATATAGTGAAGCGGGTTCTATAAAAATTTAACAACAGATGTTAGTTTAAATTATGTCAACCTGCTTTCTATGCATAACCACAAAGATGGAACGAAGAAGAAAGACATTTATAATGAGTACATCCTAACTCAGTGAAACGATCGAAATGGACTACCTTACGGATTCCTGTGCTGGCAAGCAATATCCTTTGGCTACACGTTGAATATAGTGCTGTGTGATTGACTTCAGAATATGGAAAATGTTTGATAAATACCTATGCAAAGGAGGCTAGTTTGTTTGGGTAGTGGGACCGTTGTGCATGTGTGTCGCAGGGGAGGATAACAAAGTACACAGCAATGGTTTTCTCAAAAGTAACATTTATAGCACAATGAAGCAAGTTGGTATTGCCTGTCAAACGGGTTAAATTACGACAAGCATTTCCGCAATATAGACGTAGTGGACAAGTCAGTAATTGTGACGGTGGGAAAAACAACGGTGAAATGTATATTATGATGCTAAAGAGGAAGAAGAAAAAGCTGTCCTCCTGTCTCGATGAAACCTGTCGGTAATAACAAACCTTCTGAAGCAGAGGCGTCAGTAGTGTTGCACCGGCCAGAAGGATAGAGACGGGTCAGACATGATAAGGTCCTGACAACTTTACAGGATCATAGACAAAAAGAAAATAGTTAAGTTTGAAGGTTATGCTAATGAGTAAAACCGGTTGACGCTGGGCGATAACTAGCAGAGGCGCGTCATGAGTTATAAAAACAGTTAGCCGTGCTTGTGAAACCAACATGTGCAGCGGCGTTAATGTT